GTTTCCTTAGGGTTTGTGTAAATAGCATTTCCAATACAAGCAATACTTTTATTATTTTGTGTGTTAACTCTATTTAAGAGATAAACCCAATAACTGGTTAACATGCAATTCTGGGGACTCATTAGCGATAAAGGTGTTTATTTTAAATTGCATGACAGTAGAGGCAAGTTAGCACTTTTGAAAAAATCTAACATTTAATCTGATTTTTTGTAAAAAACAACAACATAAATTTATAACATAATTACATAATTAAATTTTTAAAAGCTTTGAAGAAAAAAAAAAAATTAAAAAAAAACATGTTTTAAATTTATTTATTCGAAAATATATTCTATATCAAATTAAAAACAACTTTTACATAAGTGCTTTATTGATTTTCATGTTGGTAAATTTATTGTGAATGGAAACTAATCGAATTTACTAAACTTTTATAGATACAAAAAAAAAATTGGGAATTCATCAACTTCAAAATTGCATACCATCACTTAGAAATTAGCAAGAAACATAATTTTTTTTTTTTATTTATCCACAAATTTATCTGACTATCTGAATAAATAATTTTTATAGACTTTCTTAAACAAATACCTTTTGTCTATTTCCACTTCTATGGAAATAGAGGTGGAAATAGACAAAAAAAAAATTGTACAAATATTTTTTTTCTATTTTCCATCATAGATCATCCAGACTGTTATAAAACTGTTGGATAAAATATCCAGAAAAAATGAAAAAAAAAACTTAAAACTGTTGGATAAAATATCCAGAAAAAATCTGGTACATGTTTTCCCCTATTTTTTCTTAAATTTTGCTTTTCGCTAAGTTGTTTCTAATTCCTTATAAAACTTTTCATAATTTTTCTATAAGTGATGAGTGAACAAGCTTAAAAAAAGATTATTATATTATTAATATTATAAAGATTATTAATATCCATATATATACTAAACAACCCATCGGTATATGATTTATTGAATTTAAATCTATTTCTAGAAATCCGTTTTGCAAATTAAATAAAACTAAGTTTAGAAAATTTAAATTATTTTGAATTTAGAAAATTAAAATTTAGAAATAAAAATTATTTTGATTTGTGGCAAACTATGACTGTTACAAGAGCGCAGCTGACTTGCCCTGTTTATGGCATCAAATGTGAATTTACTACTGGCAAGCTGTTAACTGTTAAGGAAGTCATGCAGCACTATTCTTTTATTAAATTACAACTTCTTAGGACTGCCAAGTCAAGCACAATAGTTTCTAGAGTTTCTGAAAATGTTATGATTACATTTGGTTTAAATCTGGTATTGTTACAATGTTCCAACTGTTACGATGGAAAGAGTGCAGCAGAAAGTAGAACCTTTGCGCAATAATTTGAGAATGATTCTTAAAAGATAAGGTGAATCAAATAATTCAGCAGTATCAATTGCTGTGAAAAAAAGTTTAGTTTTTTTTTATATTGCAGCATGTCATTGTCTTAATTTAAGTAATTGCACATTATCGAGAATATCAAAAGTGCCAGTACTTGAGCATGAATATTTAATGGATCAGAAAAATGAAAGTAATCTGGTTATTGGTCCTTTAAGGATATATAAGGTCCTTTAACGATTTATAAGGTCCATTAAGGTCCTATAAAAAAAGTACTTTTATATTAACCAAAGCATTTGACAACAAAGAGACAGAAATACTATATTTTTTTGTCTAGTAAAAGCAGGTCATATTTTTTTATCAAGTGCATCATCAACAAATATCAAGAATGCTATAATAAATTTTTTTAATGAAAACAAAATCATTGATAATGTGTTAGCCATTGGCGCTAACGGAACTAACTTAAATACTGATGTGATCAATGGAGTAAAAAGATTGCTGGAACTGCATTTGGGATATTCAATTCAATGTTTAGTATGTATATTCCATTTTAATGAACTATTTAGAAATTTAATATTGCATTTATATGCAACACTTATGGACCTATTGCATTTAGTAGTAACATTGGGAAAGCACTTGCAAATTGTCATGGGTTGTCAACTGATGTCAGACAGATTTGATGTCAGACAAAATAACTTACTCAACTTTCTACACGAGATAGTGAAAAAATAATATGAGCAAAGATCTACAGTATCCTTATAACATGTTCAAGGCAATAGAAATAGGTGAGGTGAAAGATAGTCTCGCAAAAAAAAAAAAAATACTTTCGATGGCTGAAAACTTGAATCCTTCATTTGTATGTTACAAGCACTCTTCTATCTACTGAACTAGCAATACTTTCTGATTACATTCTTTGAGTTTATGCACCAGCGTGATTTTTTATAAAACTGGCGCCTCAATGTTACATGGGGGCAGAACATTTGAGGCACTTTTCAATTCTCTTGCTTCCTCTTTTAAAAGTGATCAACTTATAATTGATAAATGTATTCAAAGAAATGCATAAAAGAGAAAACAGAAAATATTTAAATATCAATGCTGATTGATGAACAAAAAGAAATAAAAGAATTATCAGCTAGAAGAATTAAATTTGTAAGGCAATGCACAGTTTCAAATTCTACAAAAGTAAGAAAATTCAAAATTTCTCTTCTAAACATTGATGCAGTTAATTACTATAGCCTTATAAAATGGGAGGAACTTCCAAGGACTCTACCACCTATGTTAAAAAAGTTTAGTGATAATTTTATTCAAAATGCAATAAAAAAATATGCAAAAATTGACTTTAAATGATGTTCCGTGCCATTTTCAAATTGTAGAAAGGCATGTTAAATTGGTTACAGAAGCAGCCACAGCCTTATCTGGAGAAATGATGGATACATTAGAACAAAATTTTTAATTAAAAAGTATATTCCACACTTTTCTTCAAAAAAATAATTAGAATATGTAGGAATAATTGATCAATAAAATCCTCTTTTTTTCATTGAACTTCTTTTAATAAGTACAATAAAACAGCAAATATTTTAATAAGTACAATAAAACAAGAACATATAAAGCAGTATTTAAACAAATTTGTATTGGTCATAAGAAATGAACGGGCTAAAAATTTTTATGCTAACGTTAATTTAATGATACTTAGATGTTAGAGCAACATTTTGCTATTCTATTTAATTTTAACAAAAGAATGCAAGGAAGATCTAACCTAATATAAATTTGTGTGTGTGTGTATATATATATATATATATATATATATATATATATATATATATATATATATATATATATATATATATATATATATATATATATATATATATATATATATATATTATGTTTGTAAACATATATATATAAAAAACGAACACTTACGGGGACATTAGCATTACCGGGGACATTTTAGTGTACCCGTTAACATATGTATGTATATATATATATATATATATATATATATATATATATATATATATATATATATATATATATATATATATATATATATATATATATATATATAAACATACATAAATGAATGCAGCACTTGATACACACTGACCATTTTATATTGAAATAAGTAGGTTCGTTTCATTTTTATATTGAAATAGGTAGGTGGCTTCAGTATATACACCAACTTGCTAAATAGGGATCATGTACAATTCGTGCTACATCAACTGAGAGTTTGGGTTGAGCAGCAACTCAACAGAGCACTATAACTCAATTCAGTATAGCTAGAGCATTGTAATGTTTGATAAGCTAAAAATACCTCAAATCTAATTTATCTTTTCAAACACCTCCAACACTTGCTTTATCTTTTTTTTAATGCATTTTTTTACCTACATGTTAAAAAAATTATTAGAATAGGAAGGTTCTGCTAATGAGTGTTATAGCAATTGGTTGATGAAAAATCTTGGAACTTATATCTAAATGTAAAAATATATAGTCTCTGTTTCATAGTGGCTTTTAAAGAAAAACCTATTCTTGGACATTAATTGATTGCGCACATCTATTCAAGTTGTACATCACTGAATGCTTCTTTTAAAGCAGTTTCCATTTTGTGCAACAAATATCAAATGAGAAACAAGTGGTCAAAAAGTTTGTGATTGATTAGTTTACAAAACAGGGATCTCCATCTTAACCCAAGTTGACAGAAGATTTAAAAAGTTGTAGGTTGTATGAGTCAGGAAAATAAAGATAGGAGGGAATTCCAAAGGGTTGAAGTGCAGGGAAAAAAACTAGACAAAAAAAATCTTTTAGATCATGAAGGGACAGATACAGTAAAATGATTAGATTTTGCTGAAAAACAAGTCAAGCAAGAAAGAATTTTGGCTGATGGAATTAGAGATTATAGCTCCTTTGAGCAGTGACCATGATTGCAACAACAAAAAAAAAAAACATTTATAATTTAAAGATTATTGAAACAACTGTTCATTACTTCAATTTGAATTTACACCGTGTTTTCAAATACAAATATGATTTGGGTGATGTAACAAATAGTAGTGTTTTTATGTATACAAGCACATCATATGCAAACTTGATTTTATAGCTATTAACTTTGTGTCGCATTTTCTTAATATCTAAAGGTAGAAATCAATAAAAAGCAGTATCAAAATGTTTTATAATCAAAAAGCAGTCTATTTTATTTTACATAAGAATACACATTCTCCAATTTTCAATTTTATACCAAAAAAAAAGATTTGTTGTTGTGGCTAAATAAACATTTTATTGATTTTTCCTCATTCTAACCTCCATCCAATTACATTACAATTTTCTAACATTTATTATGTTAGGAAATACTAAGGAAAAGGATGGCTACTACAAACACATGCTTTTTAAACAAATAACTATTTGAATGCAACAAAACATTGCATTAAAATCATCAAAGAATTTAAAAAATGTTAATTTTTGTTATTCTTTAAGCATTCTAAAATATATTATTCTTTAAGCAACTTAAATCATCTATTACATCACTAAGAAGGAATATTACAAGATTAAGTCGCATATTGTAAATTGTTGTAGATTAATTAACCTAAACTATATGAAAAATAAACAAAAGTTTTATCTAACATCAACAACATAGAAGTTTAAATAATTATACTTACATTAACAATAAGAGTACAATAAAGCCAACAAAACATGCAGCAGCATCAATTATACGAAGAAAGTATCCCAAATCAACAAGTATTCGTTTGTTAAATTTTAAATCAATTTCATATTGATATTGCTACGTGATTAAAACAAAAATTTCAGAAAATATTGCATTTAATAAACAAATGTAATATAAAAAAAAGAAACCACCGAAAAAGCAGGAATTAAAACACCCTAAATTCAGAAAAACTTACAACTTACAAACAAGAATAAATATTAATTGTTAATTTGTTTAAAATTTTTTTCAAATATTGTATGCATTAAAAAAGTGTAGTTACAAATTCAAAGTTAATTACATTCCAGAACTTATCCAACCTCTATGAAAAAATCCTAAGCACAATATAATCTAGTTTAACCCCCCATATAGTAAAAAGGTTATTACAAAAATTGGTAAACTTTTTTCAATTTATTAGACTAACACTTCTCAGTTAGCCATAAATACCATGAGATTTTGAAAAAAATACTTTAAAGGTGAGTTACAGTTGTATGCCAAACATCAAATAAACCATTAACTCTCATAACCATCATATAATGAAAAACAACACCTCAGAATCCTGAAAACATTGCAATTGTATTTACTAAAAACAAGTGTCCTATAAATTAACAGTGTCTTGTAAATAACATAGTGTATCAAGCCACTCTCTGCCCAGACACTTCAAATACTTTCTGATCATCAATATAGATCTCAATCTTCTCGTTCTAATTGCATATTTTTTAATGGTAATAACAAATAGGTTTTATTGTGCATTAGATAGATGTTGAGAGGTTAAGGCTATTGCTCTCAACATTTCTAAATAGTTTAACTTGCTGGTCTTCTCCATAAGCTCTCCTCTTATGGCATACCAGGTCACATCTTTAAGATAATTGAAACGTTACTTACTAATTATAGTATAAAAGTTGTCCTCAATGGACAGCACACTTTTTCATATCCTCCAACTTCAGGAGTTCCTCAAGGTTTAATCCTTGGCGCTATATTCTCTCAAATTTACATTTTTAATCACCCAGAAATTCTCTTATCTAAAGTAGCATTCACCCAGATCTTATCTAAAGTAGCATCACCCAGAAATTCTCTTATCTAAAGTAGCATTTCTCGCAGATGATACTACCATTTATTCTTGTCTTGATAAGAAACCAACACACTCTGATTGTTTGAAGGGGGCATTTGAGCTTGAAAAAGATCTCACTTCTGCTACAACATAGGGCTACCAGTGCCTGATGAGCTTGAACTCAATTAAAAAGATAAAACTTACTTTTTTTCACTAAACATTATTGCAATAATTTAGATCTTTTATATTTATGAATGATAATGTACTCCATAAATCATCTACACTTCGTCTTCTAGAATTCTTATTTTCGATCTTTCTCATACATACATCAGATCAATTGCAAAATTAGTATCTGCTAAGGTTGCATCTCTTTATAGTGCTTGCCATTTTCTAACACAGGATTCTATTCTTTATCTCTATATATCTCAAATCAATCCTTGTATGGAATACTTTTATCTGGAGCAAATGTAAAAATGCATTGTGAACCTGCTTTTACAGCCAACCTTCAATCATATGTCATATTGTCATAGTGTTGCTTCCCTTTCTCTTTTCTATATATACTATAATGGGCACTGCACAAAAGAAGTAGCATCTCTTGTGCCATCAACTAAAATTCATTCTCATGTTACTTGTTATTCAATTAAGTTTCATTCTTTTACTGTGACTGTTTTATGCGCTCGAAAAATTTTTACTCGCCTAATATTTTTCCTTAAACATAAGTTCTTTGTAATTCCTATCATTCATCTTGTATTCCTGATTTATATAACTTGCTATTAAGTTGTCTGTTGTTGTTTCCTATTTGTAAAACTTGATATA